GGTGGTTCTGAAGTTGTATAATTATAATATTTATTTTGGGGTTTGATATTTATTTCATGATTTGTTTGAAGTCTTGGTTTATCACTCTTTGTGAAAATCAGGGTCTCCTAAGTTTAGGTTTGAATTATTTGTTTTCTATCATTGATTGGTATTTTCCATTGATTCTCCTTCTAAGTTTGACTTCTATTGTAAGGTTTATTGTTCTATGTTGCATTCATACACCAAGAAAATTTTCATTTAAACCTTTCTTATTTATGCTTTTCATACTTAAGTCTCATTCACATGTTTTTTTTTTAATTTTCATATATGTGAAAAAGACAATTTCAGAACATATTTTGTCACACAAAAATACTATTTAGCATATTAGTGAATCTTATGGAAGTAAATATGTGAAAATAAATTTTTCCAAGATAATTATGTTTAGGAGTTAAGCTTACAAATCACATGTTCCTGAAAGAGAACATGTTTATTTTTGGACCAAAACCTTTAAACATGTACAATACTTTTATAAGCTAGTTATTTAGGAGAATTTATGAAGGAAGCTTCACATCACATCACATCACATCACATCAAAATATACTATTTCAATTTTCAAAAGGAAGCTTTACAAACATATCCCTAAATTCTTATGTTTTTACATATCTAACGCTTAAACTTCAACTTTTACATACATACCAGCTCAATTACATCTGAAAATTATATTTCACCTTTAAAAAGTTAAAATGATGGCATTTTGTAAGTAATATGAAAGATTTGGATGATATGAATGTAAAAAAAAAAAGGTTCTAAATATGTAAATACATAGGATTGGGTGATATGTATGTAAATAACCCCTCTAAGATATTAGACATAGAGATAAACAAATAGAAATTGAGTAGTATGTTCGTAGATCTTCCTTTTGTTTAATCAATAAAGATCATAAAACTGTTGTGAGAATCTCCACCGCAACAAAATTATGTATGGACTCAAATTTTTTTACAGAAGAATAAAAATCTGCATATGGATGCATTTAATTCCACCGAATGTGCAGTTTCAAGCCATCCACGTAAAGACACCTATCCACGTTTAAACAAGCCTTTATTTCCCAGCTACCAAATGTTCTCTTACCCTGTTGTCTATTGACACCTTTATCATGATCTCAGGATTAAAATCAATGCCATTCCAACCCCACAACTGCTATCGATGACCTTACAACGCCACATGGCACGCCTAGTTTTTATTCAAAGCCAATTAATATATACATATATGTATTTGCTAATTTAAGGATCAACGTCCAAATTTTATTTAAGAGAGCGATGATCTCCGTTCTGACACAAAGTTTTCATTTATATAATAAACAAATTTAAGTTAATTTATCTTATGAACTAGTTGTTTATTTTAATGATGATTAGTGGATGCAAATTACTTTAAAAAACGTGTCAGACCCTGATAATGCAATGCATAATAAAATGAAATGCTCAAAAAAATATTTGCTTGCAAAGAAAAAATATAAATTTGATTAATACTGAAAATTTCATTGATACAATTGAACTGAAAATAAAATATTAGTTGAATAAAAAAAAAATTGATAATATTGCTTAGACACAACAAAAAAATTATACTAGCTAAAACAAATATTGAAAAAAATTTATATATCAAGATGAGAAAAACTAAATCAGAAAGGCTTGCTCCAGTAGTGGTGGTTATAATGGTGGTGAACAGAATCTATGATGCATAAATATCAAAGGGTGAGTTTGACAAACAAGCTCAGTAAATAACATCTCTCCATTAAAGCATAAACAGTAAAGGAACTGGGGCATGCAATATGAACAACTAAGGGCGAGTACTACGTGCATTTATAATATTGTATAGCAACAAAAAAGTGGTAGGCATCAAATATGCAGAACATAAGAAAAGCTGCAATCATTTTCCATCAACACTTCAAGAAAATCAGCTATAACGGATGGTAGAACGACGACTTTAGTACGTCAAAAATATCATGTTATTTTCTGACACCTTAGTAATAAAATATCAGAGAGTTAATTTTCGACTGCACAATAGCTGCTCAAGCCGTCGCTTCTTCTCAAAAATTATTTTTGACAACATATTTAGACTTATCGACCATATAAACCGTCGATTAAATCTTAAATAAAAACTGCCGCCAAAAGTAACGCAGCTGCTTTTCCTATGTCATAAACCGACAAGCGTGCAATAATAATGACGACTTTAAATGTCTGTTAAGATGTTGTTTAGAACCGACAGCTAAAAAGTCATGAATTAACCGTCGAAAAGGGTCTTTATCTACGAACCCGTGCCTAAAACCCTCATTTTCTCTTTTATTCTCCCACACACACGCTCGAAACTCTTTTTGCCACACTCCCTGATTTCACCCGAAACACTTACCTTTGGAGTTAGCAAGGAAGATAACAATGGGATCACAGCTTGCTATCGCCTTTTGAGCTAATTGGAAAGACAACGAGGGGATCGTGGCTTATAGAGACCACCGAAACTCTCATCCTTCTCATCCTTTTGCTTCGCTCTTACCAGAAACCTTTGAGTAAGGTATGTTTGTTCGCCCCATTCTTCCTCTTCGCTCTTCCTGGACTTCTCTCAGTCCTCCTCTTCTGGTTTCACCCTAAAAATCTTTTTCTTCCCAATACAGTCGGCATTCAAGTTAGCTGGGAAAACAACGATGCGATCGCGACAGACATAGACTACCATAACTCTCATCTTTCTTATCTTTTCGCTCCTCTCCTACCTGTAACCAACATAGACTACCATAACTCTCATCTTTCTTATCTTTTTGCTCCTCTCCTACCTGTAACCAGTGAGGAAGGTAAGCTTGCTTGCACCATTCCTTCTCTTCCCTCAAAATAGTGAGGAAGGTATGCTTGCTGACACCTTTCTTCCTCTTCAATTCGTTTGTTTAGGTATGAGGTGTGTAAAGATATATGAATTGTGTGCTATGTATCTAAATGTCTTCTACTTATTTAGGTTAACATGACCAAGTCCTTTTAGGTATTTCTCTACCTTTCCTAACTTAAAACTACGGTAAGATGCCTGATTAGTGTCAAGCATTTTCGACGCTAATGAGGTCATATTCTGACGCTAAGGCAGATTAGCATCGAATTTGCATCAAAAACATTTTAACATTAAAATGAAAATCACTAATTGATTTTGGGTTGACATTAGTGTCAGTTTTTTATTTGTGTTTGAATTTACATCGCAAAAAATCCTCACTAAAAAATCTGTCAAAATACGGGTGATGTTGGCTTAACAGAGCAATAGTGTCTAACATTTCCTACACTAATTAGCGTCGAACTTGGATAGAAGAAATCATATGCACTGAAAAATGCTTAGTGAAAGCGATCTCTCTAAGGCATTCAATGACTTTAAAACCTCGCTAAGAGCCACATCTCTCAACTTCATATATCTACAAGATCATAACCTAATCTCCATGGGTTGAGCATTTGCAGAACTAGTTTTTTAGATAAGATGTCAACTAGATATCATGTGTGACTTAAAAGGGAGCATAGAGAACAAAATGTCAAAGATGACATATACAAAGGATAAGACATCAGAGATAATATAATACAGATACTTAGGCTACATATACAAATTAAAATAGTTAAGGATCCTAAGGATCCAAGTATAACCACAACCTTTGTATATTTTCATGAGAAAATTCCCCCTTAAAAATTGAAAGAGTTAATGTAAAATAGATGGTTGTTTTCCTGTTGAACTTTTACTCAAAAAATGAATACAATAAACCCTTTACTCTTTTCTCACTAGCTCACTCCTTCCTCCTTCATTAGCTCACTCATTGGGTGTGATTCCACGATGAAAAAATGGTATAATATTCTTAAAAAGTGTACGTAGTGAGCATGAATCTTGTTAAAAAGGAAGAGGAGCAACACAACGAGTAGGATCGAGTCATAGAAAAGTAAATGGCAACATAGACTTATTAGATAATTCATCTAAGAGAACAATTGATCTTGTTCACTAGTCAGCATGTCCATTCATCCACTTGTCCAGGAAAACAACTTCCTTGGAGAGTTACATTAGAATAGGTCTCTTTAGGGAGTTCTAATAGAACGGCTCTCTCAGGAGAGTTCTCCCAAAACATCATCAAAAAAATAGTTTTTCCAAGAAAAGAGAAGTTATGTATGGAGTAGAGCTAAGCAATAGGGTTAAAAAAAGGAAAAAACTCTCAGACTCTCAGAATCCTCTCTTCTTTTTTAATTTTTTTAAAATGTTTGAATTTTTTATTAACATCATCGATGTTTATATAATGAGTAATGCATATGATTATTGTTATATAAAATGAATTTGCCAATCACATTCAAGTAACTCATCTCATTAATAAATCAAGAAACTCACCCCTCATAACCAAGTTTTCTAAGAGTAAAAGAAAAACCACCTAAGTTGTTAGACCTACTCAGCTCAATAACCAAATAATAGAAACTGCTTTGAAGAGATTATTTACAAAATATAACTCAATAAATAAAGAATGATTTTAGTTAATCTTGAATTGAAGATGCTGAGATACATGCCTAAGTAAAATATAAAAAAAATTATGCCAACAACTCCTTAAGGAAAAGTTACAACCACTTGTGAATGACACTCTGTATTTAACAAAATTATCTGAATTCCTTTATAATTAAGTTATATTGCAAGAAAATACTCAATCTAATTGCACAAAAAAATTTCTTGTTGAAGAAATAAAAAGTGTGATAACAATTATGATCTAGCAATCTATTGGACTATTTCCCGAATGGGAGAGAAAATGCCCCGTTGATGGAATCTTATATATGTAACCAAAGTGCCCTAAAAAAGATGCCTTATATTAGAGCTAAAAGCACTAGTAAATAAACAGTCAATATATAGTGAAATAAACAACACATCATTATTTAAATATCTTTGATTAGGATAATTTGTGTTGTTAGTTTGTTCGATTTGTGCAGGCTCAGAAGTTTATTTAAGGTGGGCTTGGTGTAAACATAATTTGTGGTTGAGTCGTCTCCCATCCCATTCAAATTGATAGCCAACATCTCTCACTACAAACACTCTCTCACCCTTTCATACTCTTCTCGTGCTTTTTCATCTTCTGAAAATTACGCACAGAAGAAAAAAAAGGAGTGGGAAGAACTATGGCTTGGATAGCTGTGTTAAACACATCTATTATGTCAATAAGAAGCAAAGAACGCAGTTCTCCATTGATGCCGTCCGATGGGCTGCTGCCACTATTGGGTGGCAACAAGATGGCATCTTTGTTGATGGGAAGACGAAAAAACTCTTCTTTTTCTTCCTCTTCTTCCACTTCCTTCTGTGAGCTCTCTCTCCCCTCTTTCTTTCGGTTATGGTATTTTTCAGTGTACTGAACTTTCAAACTCAAATTATCGCCATGTTTTCCCAGTTTATTTTAAATTTACTTGGAAGCTTATTAATGAGTTATAGATAATGTAGTCAGTACTGTAGGGAAGTACGGAGATGTGGGACTGGCCAAGAAGTCATGGAATTTCTCTTTCTTCTTTTACTTGTTCTCTTGCCTTTCTAGAGTTCTCCTTGTTTCTATGAGCTGACTCGTGAAAGTATAGATCAAATTCCGAGTCGTTTGGTTTTGCAGTGTATTTTTCTATATATATATATTATATGCTTTATTTTTTTGTAACAGAACGATGGGATGGTTGTATGGATTTAAAATTTAAAAGCTTAATTTTTAAGTTAAAATAAATTTTGAACAATTTTTTCAACTCATTTTCACTCCTAATTTCTCTTTCATTCTCTGAATTTTCTTAAATTTTGCTCATTAATCTATTTCGGTACTTACCATCTATGATAAACAGAAGAATGCTAAGACTAAGAGGGACTGAATTTAAAAGTATAATTTTATGTGTTAATATCTCATTTCAGTCCTATTGGTAAGCTACTACTTTTTTAGACTGTTTAAGGAATAAGCCTACCACTTCTTTCGTTTTATCCATTTTTACCCCAAAAAGGCAATCTTACATTAATCTGGACATGAAGTTAAGCATCATATCTTAAATAGCAGCATTAATCAAAGAAAAAAACTGCATAAAAAATCACTAATACTATTGAAGTAAATATTTTTTAAGGAAAAAATAATCGATGCTGTTCTTACAGTTCTTGTGTATGTATATAATCACAAATACTCTTCATTAATTAGTACTGTTCACATTTGGCCAGTGACGTCAAACCACCCCTAAAAACTAACATTCAAATAAGAGGAAGGATTAACACCCCCTTTCTCTCTATCAGATATATCATTTCGAAGTACTGAAAAAAAAAAAAAATTTTAAGAAAATAAAATAATTTTTTTTTGCGAAGACTGAAATCATACTACTAACTCTACTCATAAAACTTGCTATTCAGATCTCAATAACCCCAAGGTCATGTCCATGGCTTTCCCCACCGCCATGGCTCCGAAACGAGAGAAAGATCCCAAGAAGAGGATAGTAATAACAGGGATGGGCTTAGTTTCAGTCTTCGGAACCAATACAGACGAATTCTATAACAAGCTTTTAGAAGGACAGAGCGGCGTAAGCTACATAGACCGGTTCGACGCCTCGTCATTTTCCGTTCAATTTGGCGGTCAGATTCGAAATTTCTCTTCCAGCAAATATATTGATGCAAAGAATGAGCGCAGGCTCGATGACAGTTGGAGATACTGCATTGTTGCAGCTCGAAAAGCTCTTGAAGATGCAGGACTTGTTAATGAAGCCTTAGACTCGGTAAGGATTAGTGATTCTATACTCTGTTTAATTTAGCTGAATAGACATCTCAAAAAAAAAAAAAAAAACCTTTTTTTAGGGGAAAAAGTCAAGAGCAGGGGTTCTAATCGGATCAGGATTGGGGGGCTTGAAGGTTTATAGTGATGGAGTTGATGCTTTTACTGGGAATAACTACAAGAAAATTACTCCATTTTTTATTCCTTATTCCATAACAAACATGGGGTCGGCATTATTAGCCTTAGATGCAGGTTTGATGGGACCAAACTACTCAATTTCTACAGCGTGTGCCACAGCAAATTGCTGCATCTATTCTGCTGCTAATCACATTAGGAGGGGTGAAGCTGATATCATGGTTACAGGGGGGACTGAAGCACCCATCCTACCTATTGGAATAGGTGGTTTCATAGCTTGCAGGGCTCTGTCTCAGAGGAACAATGAACCAGAGAAGGCTTCCAGGCCGTGGGACAAAGACCGCGATGGCTTCGTCATGGGAGAGGGATCTGGTATTTTGGTAATCTTCTAACAATATTGACTAATTAGCTTTGATCCCCATTTATGAACAGGAGTGGACTCATCTTGCTGTTAGAGAATAAGAGGCTATCTGTCTGCATATTAACTGCTGACGCAAATCTCAAAAAAACTCAGCAGCGAAGACAGGAAAAATTATTACATCAGGTCAGGACTCTACATGTGCCCGATAATACAAGGGAATATTCTCTTCGTATTATTCAGATGTTTTTGTGTGTTATTCATGTGTTATTGTGTGTTTTTCAAGTATTATTGATGTGTTATTATCTTATTATAATACCGAGAATATTCCCATAACACAATAACACCTGAATAATATACAATAATACCTGAATAACACACAATAAGACATGAATAATACGAGAGAAATATTGCCTTGTGCTACCGGACCGATCACCTCCACGACGTAATTTCATTGGACTCCGCACGTAACTCTACGTGTGAAGTCCTGATGTAATAGTTTTTTCGAAGACAGTGGTCAATGAGGAATTATATCAAAGAGTAAGATTTGAATGGTTCATTCAACGATTGACCGCTCAGTTGAAGTCAACCGGCATATTATGACAAAAGACCCAATTGGCGGGCCATGCTCGTAGACTTGATCTCCTTGTAAGAGCGCTCAATCGTAGCTAGTCGGCCGATCGATTATTTTGTTTGACAGACGCGACCACCGTCCGACCGATGACCCCAGTTGACCGAATTAAATTGCGTCAATCAGTCGGTTAATGCTATAGTCAAATTCAAATTTTTTATACATATTAGGTACAAGATCAACACAATTAATCACACTAAGAGAGATCTTCATAACAGTCCCACTTTTTCTATAATTGTATGAATATGCCTCTATAAATTAGAGGCAAAAAATAAATAGACTATTCCCCTGTTCCACTATAGGAGTTAGCTTAATTACTCTCTCTCTCTCTCTCTCTCACTCTCAATTCCTCCTTCTCTCGGCCCTAGCTCTCGAGGTGTGTTCACAAAAAAACAATTGAAGGTTCAACATACTAAAAGATGGAGCGGTGAGAGTAGACATGTGTTAGACGAGAAGCGGAGCCAACTACGAATGAGAATCTTTGTAGAGAGAGATAGTGCCCATGGATTTTAATAAGGGATGGTACGCTAAGACATACATGAAGAGGCATGCGTATCGCGAACACAACTAATGGACTAGTTCAAGAATCTTTGGGCAGTCATAATCCTACAAAACACCTGACTGCAGAAGGCTCCCCTGGACAATCCGGCATCGCCCCACGGTTGGTTCGACAATTGGTGAACCGAAGTACCTAAAGATTCCCAATCGGCAGACAGTGTCGCATCTACGTCGGCGGTCCCACATTGACTGGGCCGAGTGATAACGTTCATTTGGCCGGTTATAGGTAGTGCCTTCTCCCGAAGGATCGTGGTAACAATACCCCCAGTGAACCTCAAGATTCCTCATTTCGACTCCTACAAAAGAAAGAGTGACGCGACCGGCCACCTCACTTCCTATGAGACGACAGTCATAGTCCTATACATTGATGATGCCATGAAGTGACAAATATTCCTGACCACACTGGAAGAAGCCACCTTTGGTGGTTTAATAGCTTACGAGATGGAGTCATCTCATCGTTCTTTAAATTACATAAGCTCTTATAGGCACACTTTGCTAACTTACAAAAACCAAGGAACAACACAGAGATCTGGCTTCAAATCAGGCAAGTGGAGGACGAAATCCTGCGAGCTTACATCACTCATTCTCAAGAAGAAATGCTGGAGATTAAGAGCTTAGAGCTCTTCATCAACCGGACCGCCCTGAAACAGGAGAATCACAGTAAATGATTCAGGTACAATCTGAACTTGTATAAGCTGGGAAACTTCGTGGAGGTATTGGAACTAGCAAATGACCACATCACCACAGAGGATGTCTTTATGGAGTCCTCAAGAATTTAACTGAGGGCATCCGACCCCGGCTGAAAAAGTGGAAGAACAAGGATGACAACAGAAGACCAAAGAGCGAAGAGCCCCTAATTATCAATCTAACAACAACTGAGACAACCAGAAGAGTAACCGACACCATCAGTGATGCCCCTCCGATCAACAACCGCCCCGTTACTTTGAGCGGCCACACGTATCTTAGGAGATGCAAAGTTTGACACCACTGAATGTGTCAATAGTTGAACTAGTACAGACCATTCAAAATAAGAACTGCTTCAAGAAATTTCCTCTCCTAAGGATCTCACCAGCACTACACAATCCGAACAAATATTGTGCCTAACATAGGGACCACAGGCATGACACCGAGGATTGTCGTCACCTCAATAATTTGGTAGAGGGGCTCATCTGAGCCAAAAAGTTGAAGGATTTGTCGCCATTGAAGCACACATACAACGACAGGGAAAGCCTCTAATAGAGAGGCCCATAGATGAACTTGTTTGAGCAAATGAAATCCACCTACTGGGATCATTGTGCTTATGTTTAGTAGAGGTGAAGGTTTATCCTGACCGTCCAAGAGACACCAGTTGGCGGAACTCCCCTCGACGCTAGGGGAACTCCTCTTGGTCACGTTGAGTTTGATTATAGGTTCAAGACATACGGTCCATCCTCTGGGTAGCCAAAGATTGAGCTATAACACTCGCCACACTTATGTCGTGGGTGAGAACTAAGAGCGACAAATATGTTACAAATATTGCCAAGTCAAAAGCACTGACTTCAAGGTAAGAAAGATATTCACAATAAGAAAAAAATAATGTTTTATTCATTCCAATCCACACCATAATAAGCGTACATGATAAAATTCATTCTCACTCTCCCATAGCAGGACCAAGGCCCTATATTTGGCTGACGAGGCCTCACTAGGAACTTCGGATCTGCACCCGCTATGCCCAAAAAAAAAAAGGATAAAGTGTGGGAGAGTGAGGCCCTTCCCTCATCTCAACTGGAATGCCCTCGGCTCATGACCGCCATTCCCCCACGCTTTCCACCATTATTCCTCAAACTTAAGAAAAACAACATGGGAGAATGTGAGAGAAGAGGCCGCCCGATCGGTGAGCGCTCGTTGGAAACACCATTTTTTTCCATGTCTCGAGCTTCTTATTCACTCCCACAGGAACAAGAGATGGCGACGAAAAATGAGCACCCATTACCAGAAGACTTATGGGCCCTTCTGGCAGCAATGATCGAACAAAGATATTGGATCCCTTAGGGACTTGCTCAACACCTCCTTGCTCATGATCCAACACACTCATTCACAAAGAGGACTTCCAACAGATTGTTGACTCAGACTGGAGTCTTGTTCAGCACCTGACCTAAAGAAAGCCCCATCTTTCCACAAACAACCGAAGAAAAAAAAATTAACACATAACCCATGTTGGATTTTTCGCTATTGCGAGAGGAGGTCACCTTTGCAGTCGGCTACAAGCTAGGCCATACAAGCCCCATTATTTTCCACTAGCAAATTCAAGTACAAGAGTAATCGGCTGAAACCCCATCTCTTCTCTTCTTTTTATAGGGGGTGTCAACGATCCCAATAGTGGTCACCCAATAAAAGCCTGCAAGTTGGCTCACTGTGACAAGATAACTCGACACCTGTCAAACTGGCACCGACATTACCACCTGATGACTGGTTTCCCAAAAAAGAAAGAAAAAAGGAGTTTATGTCATCATCGATGCAAGCTTTAAATGTTGATTCACCAAAGTTACGTGATGAGACGACAGTGTCAATTCCACTGAATGGTCGAGTCGACCGAAAAACCCCGCAAGAACCTCTGAGTCTAACTCTATGTTGACCTCACTTTTGGTTGAGGTTTAGTTTTTTCCTCTTTAGTAGTCTAAGGTCTAGCCATAGGACTTTTCTCTTAACTATTGTTAGAAAACTAGACAAGGAACCCTCACCATTAGAAATTTTGCATTGCACTTTACTCAACTTGAAGTTTCACATATTGGTCCTAACCTCTAGCACTTAGTAGGTGGGGTCATTATGGGGGAGCTCAAGGAGAGTCCCCTTAGGACTGCTGGACCTTAGGGTTGACCCTGGGTGTTGGTCTAGGGCTTAAGGCACATACTTGCACTCGCAATCACTCACAATCCTAAACTTAAATTTCTAGGCTTTGGTCCCTTGATACTTTTGTGAGAGTCATGTAGGTGGTCCCCTAAACTCACTAGCCCTAGGCTAGGGTTTAGCTAAGATTACTACTTAGAGGACCCAAAATGGGGTTTCCATTGGTCCATAACTTATTGATGGTGATTGACACTCCAACTCTACCAAGATACCCAACTTAGCCTTGGGACCCCAAATTTGGCCAAAATTCCCCCAAATTACCTAGATACCCTTGGGACCCCAAATTTGGCAAAAATTCCCAAATTCACCCAAAACACCCAAATTGGTTCAAAAATCAATTCAAACACCTTGAAAACACCAAAGCTACCCAAAATCACCAAAATTGCCCCTCCTTACCCCAAAATTCCAAAAATTCAAAAAAATTCCAAAAATTCTCAAAAGCAATTTCATTTTTCTCAACTACCACATGACCAAATTTGGCCAATTTGACCATCTTTGACCAAAACTCCCAAATTGCTTTTTAAATGCCTATATTTTCCCCAAATCACCTCAAATGTTTATCAAATTGGTCTCAAGTTGCCCTAATTTCAATTCTAAACTCAAATTCACTATTGATATGACCAATATAGACTAAATTCAAGCCCAATTCATCCATCATTTGAGCCCAATTTTGATTTAGATCAAAACCCCAATTTTGGCACCATGACTTGGTTACACCAAATTGATCCCATGACCAACTCAATTTGCCATAATTTGTGTTGGAAAACCTTCATAATATTCCCATACATCAAACTTGACCTTCAAGTGGCCTTGGTGAAGCCTAAATGTCATTTGATTTCAATCTAAGTCCAAAGAGCCCTAAATTTGCCCCAAACTGACCATGTCTCAAAATCTCACCAAATTGATGGCCTTAGCCCCAAAATTTCCACTCCATTCCTTCATAAAAAATCTTCACAACATCTCCTTTGATCATTTGAACCATTTAATTTGGAATTATCACAAGGCTAGCCCAACCTAGACCCATGTCTAGTCCAACATGCCAAATTGACCAAATTTCAAAAATCCTTCAAATTGACCCTCCAATTGAACTCAAAATCATTTCAATTCTTCACCAAAAGTCTTCATAACAATTATATACACAATGTCGATCAATCAATTGGGCCAATTGACATGGATAGCCTAGCCTAAACCCAAGCTTTGATCACTTGAACCCACATTGAACCCATGAACTAAAGATGGCCTAACTAATGGCCTAACTATAAAGATGGCCTAACTATCCCAAAGTCACCAAATTAATGACTCCACAACCATTAGTTGGACCCTAATGACCAGCCTAAACCTCTTAAAACCACCTAAACAAATCTATGGACCAAAGTTCCCCTAAATTAAGGGATATGTTTTCCATATTTTCTTAGGCTTAAGATATTTTTGCCAAAACAAAACCTCATCCCATTAAATTGCTGTGACATATGCCCCTGGGTTCCCTGAGCTCCTTGCTACCTCCCTCTGCCATGGCCGGCCGACCTAGTCGCCGGAGAAACCAAAATTGATAGCCACCCCCTATTGAATTTTACCCAAATCAAACCCAGAGGCCACCTCACTCAAATCAAATGTTAGAGCCTCTCTACCCTCCACCTAAGCATCACAATGCACCCAAAAATTGGCCCCGAGAGCCACCCTTTAGCCATTTTTATAAAAAACTCAACTCCACGGCCATGGAAGGTGTGTTGAAATTTTCTCAGAGAAAGACCTCCAAATCACTCCTTAAGCTTCATTGAGACCTCCACAGCTCATTCCAATCACTCCATTGCCCTGATTCCCCCTGTGTAACCCTAATTTTGAGCTTGAAAATTAGGG